GAAGTTGTGGGTGCTCCAACACTCGACGTTTTTAAGAAGAGACTGGACAGGGCTAGAAATAACGATGCAGTTAATGAGGCCTAGATGGCAGTCACTGGGCAAGTAGTGCTTAGATGTGGGAGAGCTTGGGGCCTGTAGTCAGTACAGGAGGTCTGATGTATAGGCCTGAGGGAGGGCCTCACGATGTTCCCAAGATGGCAGCCGCAACGTGCTCCGCCAAAGTCCAGGGATGACAAGGTCGTGTGAGGGGCCTGAAGTCCTAGGGAAATCCCTGTATCACACAGAGGCCTTCAGCAGTTAATCCGGCTGATATAAGTTTGTAAGGCTGGCCGCGTGGCGCGCCCAAAATGGCGGCCACGACGAACTTAGTTGCAGCTTCCTAGGCATAGGCCGGATCTCCTGCTTGAGCAGGGGGTTGGACTAGAAGACCTCCAAGGTCCCTTCCAACTCTGTTATTCTATGATCCCAATCTCTTATTCCAGTGGTGGCGAACCTATGGCACGCGTGCCAGAGGTGGCACTCAGAGCCCTCTCTGTGGGCACACGCACCATTGCCCCAGCCCCACCTCCACCTGCATCCCCCTCAACAGCAGCCCCCACAGAGGAGAGTCACCCCCGAGTGCGGCCCATGTGGAGCAGCGCAGCCAAGGACATGGCAGCCGGGCAATGGGGACAAGACTCTGCCCTCGCGTCCCATCATGCACAGTTGATGCTGTGGGACGTGGGCAGAGGGTGTGGCCGCTATGGTGCTGCTGGGACGCCTGGGCGATCTGCGGTGGGGTGTGAAGGCGTTGAGTGGCCCTGTGGGGGGGGGGGGGCAGAGCAGGGCAGGTGGGACAGGGGGCAGAGTTGGGCAGGTGGGGGCGGTTTTTGGGCACTTGGTCTCTAAAACAGTGGTTCTCAACCTGTGGGTCGGGACCCTATTGGGGTTGATCGACCATTTCACGGGGGTCGCCAAGCAAGGCTGTCCGCCATTTTTTTTGTCCATTTTTCCCCCCTTTTCCGGCGGGTGCCTTACCTCCCTTGGGCTGGGCCAGCTGGTGGTCGGCCTGCTCCGTCTCTGCCACTTGCCAGCTATGCCTCGACCGGCGCAGGGGGCGGAACCACGCATGTGCGGCGCTCCCCAGCAGGGAAAGTCCTCGACTTACAACCGGTTGGGTAGTCCTCGACTTATGACCGGTTTAGTCCTCGACTTACGACCGGTTTAGTCCTCGACTTACGACTGGTTTAGTCCTCGACTTACGACCGGTTGGGGTCGCGGCATTAAAAAGGTTGAGAACCACTGCTCTAAAAGGTTTGCCATCACTGTCCTATTCACTGCCCCTGGGAGACAAATGTGCAGTTTGGTAATTCCACAGGGTGGTGGTGTGTGGCTTGCACATTTAAGAGAATTACTTTCAGAAGCAAATCTTTCAATGGCTTACGGATTTCAGACACTGCGGGCGTCTGTCTGTTCCTGGGATAATCCTCTAATTTTTGCAATTTGCCCCCTAGTTCACAGCCCAGCTGTTGGGCTTCTTGATCAGCGTGGTGAGCTCCATCTTCTGCGGTCACCTGGGCAAGGTCGAACTTGATGCCGTCACCCTTGCAGTCTCGGTAGGTACATCCCTGCCTAGCGGAAGCAGGAAAAGGGGTTTTGTAGCACTGTCCCCTGATAGAATTGGAGCAGGTGAGGATTGACTATTGACTGAGGCACGGATGGGTGAAGACCACGTTGTGGGCTGGATAGGGCCTGGATGCAATGAGACACTGGAGAAGCACTGACATGTTGGAGCAATGTGTCTCAGCCTTGGCAACTTTGAGATGGGTGGACTTCAGCTTCCAGAATCCCCCAGCCAGCATGGTTTAAGATTCGTGGAATTTAACTCCCAGAATCCCCCAGCCAGCATGCTTTAAGAGGGGTGGACATCCACTCCCAGAATCCCCCAGCCAGCATGCTTTAAGATGGGTGGGCTTCCACTCCCAGAATTCCCCATCAGCATGCTTTAAGATGGGTGGACTTCAACTCCCAGAATTCCCCAGCCAGCATGTTTTAAAATGAATTAACTTCAACTAACAGAATTACTTAGCTGGCCTACTTGAAGAAGGGTGGACTTCCACTCCCAGAATTCCCCAGCCAGCACGCTTGAAGACGGGTGGATTTCCATTCCCAGAATTCCCCAGCCCGCACGCTTTGGGATGGGTGGGCTTCCACTTCCAGAATTCCCCAGCTAGCATGTTTTAAAATGAATTGACTTCAACTAACAGAATTACTTCGCTGGCCTGCTTGAAGAAGGGTGGACTTCCACTCCCAGAATTCCCCAGACAACATGGTTTAAGAGGAACGGACTTCAACTCCCAGAATTCGCCAGCTCGGTTCAACTCCCAGCATGCTTTGAGAGATGGACTTCAAGTCCCAGAATTCCTCAACCATCAATGCTGATTGAGGAATGCTGATGGTTGAAGCCCACCCATCAAAGTGCTAGCTGGGGAATTCTGGGTGTTGAAATCCACCAACTTCTTAAAGTTGGGCAGCTGGGGATCTCTGGACATTGAAGTCCATCCATGAAAGTGCTGGCTGGGGAATTCTGGGAGTTGAAATCCACCAATCTCTTAAACATGAGCCAGCCGTGTGCTGCAGCTGCCAAAAAAGCCAACACAGTGCTAGGCTGCATTAACAGAAGGATAGAATCAAGATCAAGTTAAGTGTTAATACTACTTTACAAGGCGTTGGTAAGGCCACACTTGGAATACGGCATCCAGTTTTGGTCACCACGATGTAAAGAAGATGCTGAGATTCTAGAAAGAGTGCAGAGAAGAGCAACAAAGAGGATCAGGGGACTGGAGGTTAAAACATATAAGGAACGGTTGCTGGAATTGGGTCTGTCTAGTTTAATGAAGGACGAGGGGGGACATGATAGCAGTGTTCCAGTATCTCAGGGGCTGCCCCAAAGAAGAGGGAGTCAAGCTACTCTCCAAAGTGCCTGAAGGCAGGAGAAGAAGCAACGGATGGAAAGTAATCAAGGAAAGAAGCAACCTAGAACTAAGGAGGAACTTCCCGACAGTTAGAACAATTAACCAGTGGAACAGCTTGCCACCAGAAGTTGTGGGTGCTTCATCACTGGAGTTTTTTAAGAAGAGACTGGACAGCCATTTGATCTGAAATGGTATAGGGTTTCCTGCCTGAGCAGGGGGCTGGACTAGATGACCTCCAAGGTCCCTTCCAACTTTATTATTATTATTATTATTATTATTATTATTATTATTATTATTATTATTATAACCTTCAAGTTGCCACGGCTGAGCAAGATGGGATTGGAGACTGAATGGTGCAGAAATATGGGCGAGATCTCTTGCTGACCTTTCCTTTCTTTCTTAAAGGTGGTCAACGTGATTGGCATTTCGGTGGGGACCGGCCTGGCATCGGTGTGCGATACTCTCATGTCCCAGGTAACGTGTATTCTGCTTAACAGCCGCAGCGATCCGCTTAACGACCAGGGCTGATCTTCACATGCTCCTGATTCTGAGTCTCCTGTCTCCACTGGGACAATGTCTTGTAAATTCAGCACGTGATCCCTGAATTCCTCAGCTGTTTGCTCAGAGATCCCTTTGTGGGCGAATCAGAAGAATCCGATTTATAAGATGCCCTGCGGGAAGTAAAGGCAAATGTATTTTATTTTATTTTTCTCCCTCTCTCTCTCTCTCTCTTTTTTTTGGCAGACTTACGGGAGTAAAAATGTGAAGAGAGTCGGGACCATTTTACAACAGGGCATCCTGATCCTGCTGCTTTTCTGCTTCCCCTGCTGGGCCCTTTTTGTTAACACGGAGCAGATCCTGCTGCTTTTCCGACAGGATCCTGAAGTCTCCAGGTTGGTCATCGTTGAGCGGCTGATTGTGATCCACTGTGCCTGTGCAAGTTGTGCTTGAGCAGGGGGCTGGACTAGAAGGCCTCCAAGATCCCTTCCAGCTTCGCTTCTCTTCTCTTCTCTTCTCTTCTCTTCTCTTCTCTTCTCTTCTCTTCTCTTCTCTTCTCTTCTCCTCCTCTTCTCTTCTCTTCTCCTCCTCTTTTCTCTCCTCTCCTCTCCTCTCCCCTCTCTCCTTTCTCTTCTCTTCTCTTCTCTTCTCTCCTCTTCTTCTCTCCTCTCCTCTCCTCTCCCCTCTCCCCTTTCTCTTTTCTTTTCTTCTCTTCTCTTCTCTTCTCTTCTCTTCTCTTCTCTTCTCTCCTCTTCTTCTCTCCTCTCCTCTTCTCTCCTCTCCTCTTCTCCTCCTCTTTTCTCTCCTCTCTTCTCTCCTCTCCCCTCTCTCCTTTCTCTTCTCTTCTCTTCTCTCCTCTCCTCTCCTCT